GGTCTTTAACCCTAATGGTTGTAATTGCTATGTATTATCTGAATGCGACACTGATTCTATGCATTATCTGAATGCCATACTGACTAATATTTTGGTCTCACATTGCCATTAGATACTAGTTAACAGAGGGAACCCGATGCCACACAGCATCAATACAATTCCCACTAACTGATGAATGATCTTCTGGTCCTCGCATATCCATCAAGTAGATCATTGAGGGGGAATCCGATGTCACATAGCAATCGGTAATTCCAGCTCTACCAAAGCATTGACTAGGTCTCACACAACCATCAAGCCAAGCTTTAAGGATTCTATTGTACTGGACTGATGCAACTATACATGCATACCTAAGGACCAAAGGCTACACAACACTGACATCGCTAACCCACTCCTCAAGAGTGTTTTGGCCTCGCGCACTAGTTAGCTCCTGAAGTGCCTCGCACATTGACAATGGTTCACTAGGGCCTCATCTAGAACGTTATACGAAGGTTTATTAGTATGTTAATGTTGTTAATTATTAAATTGTTCTATTCTGGTCGTTCGCTGCTTAAAGGCATTTTAGTTATTTATGTCTCTAGATAAGTCTTTATGTGTTTCATGAGTTCACGACGATTACTATGTTGATCATTCGCTATCTGTAACATAAGTTGGCCCGATAACTGGCTCGACTTCAAAATTAGGTAGCAACTCCCTAATCGCTCCTATTGCGTTTTCATTCACCCTCGAATTGAAGGGACAACTGTACATTCACTGACATTCTTGATATACTTAACCTCGTTATTTCGTAATCTGATTATCTCATCATATCGTTTTTCGGTACACCCTCTGTAATGATCCTTCTCTTTTAGATGTTTAATATGTGGTCTATAAGTGTAATTTGGTAATTTTGGCTCTCAAGGGCATTTTAGTAACCTTCCACACCCATGTTAGATTCTTGATCTCAATTGATATTAAACTCCTCACTCTTGAGTCTATTTGACATCTTGAAGTCACTCAACCTCTCTAGGTATTGATATCAAGCCTTCGGTATGGATACTCAATTTTTTGGGTATGGAGACCAGTCCTTCGGTATAGAGACTAGCGGTCGTGAGATCGATCATTCAGTATAGATACTACAACCCTCAATATCGATACTATGTTATTGGTATCGATACTCCTCCCCTCGATATCAATACTCCCTACCTAAAATCCCTAATTTTTGCCCTAAATCATCTAGTATCGATATTGTTCATCCCAATATCGATACTCGAACCCATAAATGGTTTATTTAGACTCGAGAAAATACCTAAAATACTCCTAAGGCTATAGTTTGGTTTCTAATCGTGTGCTGAAACTTTAGGGAGCCAAGTAGGGTCATAAAATGTCTTAAGAACACATATTTTACATCAAAATCGTCATATATGGCTTAAATCAAGTATAAACCCTAAAATACTTAAATACTCAAGTCCTATCAAATCTTTACATTTAAGAAAGCCTTAACACCACAAAGGATTAAAAAGACTCTACCTTGATGCTAGGATCCAAAAATGAAGCTCCTTGCTTAGTGAAACTCATTTTCTTGGTGATTTGGATGAAAACCCCCATTTTCCTCTAGCTAGGAAATAAACCAAGACTTGATTCATTAAAAGTTATTGGAGGAATTTTGAATGAATTTGAAGCATGAAAAATGGCTCAAGATCTTACCTTTATGCTATGGAAATTTGGAGAGAAAGTGGGAGAAGGAAAATGAGAAAGGAAGAAGAATGAAGAAAATAGGAAGATGAAAAGAAATAAAAGTCTTCATTTTTAAAAAATGGAAAATTACAACTTTTGCTATCCCACAACTTCCATTATTCAAAAATCTCCATGTTGGTTAATTGGGCCCGATTCCAACCCAATTAAGCCCAATGCCTTAAATTATTAAATCCACGAGGCCCATTTACATATCGAATAGACTCGAAATTACTAGCCCGAAATTTGGGGTGTTACAATGCCTGAATGCGTTGTAATTATGATTAATTCATTTGTTTTTATTAATGAAATCAATTGTCATGTTTAAAAAAATTAACATAATTGTTGACATGGCATCTTTTTTATTTTTTTAATGATAACATGACATTACATTATTGTGATATGCTAACGTCACCATTAATTTTTTAATGACAGGTGACAAAAATAAAACCAAAACGTAATGTTAGGTACAATTTTGAAAAAAAACAAATAGTTGGATGGATAAAATAAAAGCACACAAATAGTTAGATGACTAAATACATAATTTACCTATTAAATTAAAACCAAAATGTACATACCCCTAGTTTTAACATAGACTTATATTATAGGTTTATTGCTTTTTCCTCTCTCTCGTAAGGATTTTTTTTTCTATAGAGGAAATGATTTCAAACGTTGAAAACCTATTAAAAATACTAAGTATGGAGAAAAGATGCATGTGAATGAATTATTTATATTTAACAAGAAAATAAAAAGAAGAATGAAAAGAAAAGAAAGATTAAGGCAGAAATTAAAGCAATTCCACTGTGAAAAAACGCATAAGAAGAACGCCCCCGTTTTAAATAGCGTTCGTGGTCACGTTTTCGATCGCATCGCGTTTATCACGGTTGCGAATATAACGTATGCTATTGCAGTCATTGCGGATATCGCGGTCGTGAATTTTTTTCGAAGGAGCTGATTTTTTTAATAAAAAAACTTTAAAAAAAAAATTAAAATAACGGAATAGCAGTCCACTATTTCAGCGATTGGTCGTGATCCGTTAAATTACGCCCGCGATCTGCCACTATTGGTATGATCCCGCTTAACACCGTTATTTTTCGTGATAGCAGTTTCGGACACCGTTGCGACCGCAATATAACGTCCGCGATACCACTATTCGACTGCTATTTGAAATCCTGTCCCTAATTAAGCTTTTGCAAAACAGTGCAGTTGCCAACTGTGAAAATGGTTTTTTTTAAGGATTAAAAAGTCATAAACTTTAACCAGTTTCAACATTCTTGGTTTTCGAAAGTTATTACTTAAAAAAAACCCAATAGAATCAAAAGTTTTTAATATTTTTATATTTGAATTCTAACTTATTTTTTTTATATATAAAAAGGTTTTGATCTTTTGTCATTGCTTTTAATATTGACCATCACAGATTTGATTTTTTTTTTAAAAAATAATTTATCAACTCAAAGTAAACCAAATTTCTTCGATCTTCAAGGGCTTTGGAGGGGCCCTAAAGGATGCTTTAAAATCATGATTATGCTCTTCTTTCATCTACCAACATACCCCATAAATGGTCCTTTTCTTTTCTTTGTTACTTTTTGCCTATTCAATATCCTTCACCTTAATAGGTTTAATACTAATGAAGTAATTTACAAAATTCAATTTCATTTGATAATTGATTGATGTTAATATATTTGAGACGGATAAATATAATAATTAATATTAGTGTTACAATTTACTTTTTCTTTGATTTGGACGAAAAATCACTCATAATAATGATCGAAGGAGTCCGAATATGATGAGCGCTCTTGGAGACTTCTATGGGAGAATGAAACCCCTAGAGAGGAGGAAGAGCAAGGAACAAGGCTCACGCAATAATTGACGAAAGAAATTATTTTTGTTTGGGGGAAAAGGGTAAAAGAGTTTTTTATCTCTAAAATTATAATTTCTTATGCATTTAATGTATTTAAAATTATAATGAAGTTCATAAAAATAAATACATTATTAAAATATTTTTAATATCCATTGATACAATAAGCTATCTATTCGAGATCATTCAATGATCAGTACGAGGAAAATGTTAAAATCATCCAAGAAACTCGAACAAAAGACAGATACAAACAAATCTGACTGCATCGACAAACGAACCACAACAGAAGATTAAGCTATTGAAAGACAATGACTTCTGCAAATTAGGATCGAGCGTTCTGAGAAAACTATCTACGAACACAAACCGTGTATCCAAGTCCAATTCGAGGGTGCAAACCAGGGAAGATCAACATGATAACAAATAAACGTCATTTTATCAGACAAGATGACGTCAAATCTAACCTTAAAAAAATAATCAAACGACCGAAAGTGTGCCATAAAAATATATCATAAAGGTAGAATCATTAGAAACTAAAAAACACGAAAAATAAATATGCATATAAAAAATAAATAAAAAATGAATATATTTTGATTTATTAATAAAAACTCGAATAATTTGGCTTATATATTATTATGAGCCTAGCAATCTTAACAAATAATGTTAAAATTGATAAATATTCAATATTTGAAACAGGTTATTGATTTTATTTTGTTAATGGTCTTTTTTTTGGGGTGATTGGTAGACCAATCATGGGTCCTTCTACATCTGAATAGAGCCAACAAACATCTCTCGTATTCCTTTCATTGTTGAACAATGTTTGCAGCAGGTGCACTGAAAACGGGGGCAAAAACACAGATAAGCACGTACAAACTATAGCTCCGGAAAAATCAAAAGTTGATTGATTTGAATGGTAAAATATTTGGATTTTATATATATAAGTTATAGAATTTAAATTAGTTGTTGATCTTAAATTTTAAATAAATAAATTATGTTTCTTAGTTCTATATGAATTTTTATCATTAGAAACTAACTTATAAAACTGTTTAAAATGCAAAATACCTAGAAATTTAGTCAAATTGACCTTTGTTTTCTGGGGGTTAAATTCATCTATGATCTTAAAAAATTGGATGAAATTGACTCATGAGTTTGAAAATTTTAATCAATTTAACTTTTTTTACGGTTTATAAATTTTACGAGATTCTTTGATCTTCTAAAAATTTAAGGATTAATTCAAATTTTTTTATTAAATTTTAAAACTAATTTGATTAAAACAGTTAAAACCTGATTTAATTAGATTTAGAGATTAATCTAACAAAAAATTTAGCGAATGTTTTTATGTTAAAAACTCAATATTTACCCATGTTAGTTAAGGTGGTATTTATAAGAAAAAGGAAAGTGTATTATTTTAAAATTGATTAAAATTTTCAAACTCATGAGTCAAGGTCAATTTGAATAAATTTCTAGGTATTTTACATTTTATACAGTTTTATAAGTTGCGTTACGGTGATCATCTTCAATATTCTAGAGTATCTTCATCATCAAGGTTTGAGGTTGATATTTGATAAATATGGTGAGGTGGTTGATTCTTTCATCCCTAATAAAAGAAACAAGGGAGGAAGTAGGTTTGGCTTTGTACGCTTCACCAGATTGGAGGATGCGAGGAAGGCTATCATCTATGCTGATAAATATACGATTCATGGTAATAAAGTTAGAGTTTTCATGGTGAGATTTCAACCCCGTGAAGCTTTTTGGAGGAAGAAGTATTCTGGTCCAGAATCAGCCAAGACCAAGAGTAGAGTGGAGGAAGATAGTCATTCAAAGACTCCCATTGTCGGTTTTTTTGATAAGGATAAGCTATTAATCCTTAGAGACTGCTTGGTTGGTTGGTGCAGAAAATTTATAAAAATGAAAGATTTAGCTGCTATTATATGCACAAGGAAGACATATTTGGTTCAAAAATTATGAGGTTAAGCAAGTTAGCAATTTTAATCATATTTGAAGATGAAGAGAGTATGGATTTTACTCTAAATAACCAGATGGGGGCATTGAAAAACTGCTTTGACAGAGTGGAAGTGTGGTCGGAAAATTTTCAGTGCATCAGCCGTCGGGCATGGCTATCGTGCAAAGGGATCCCACCGTTTGTGTAGAGTCATTCCACCTTCAGAAATATTGCAGGAAAATGGGGATAACTTATCTCCATTGAGGAAGGGACCTTAAATCCCGACTCGTTTGATAGGGTTTTGTTTCAGATTATTACGAACCGCCAAGCTCGTGTGGAAGAAACTTTTGATTTGAAAGTCGGGGAGAGGATTTTTACAATATATGTTTTTAAGTTTGAATCTTGTTTCAGCCCAGAATCTGTCTGGTAGATTCGTCTTGATGGAAAAGTAGTTGTATACCCGGTGTCCACGGTGTGGAGCAAGGTGGTGTCTCGCCAGTTAAGTCTCCCGTGATGGATGAGACAAGATTGTTCATTGATGGCTCACTGGCAGGGGGGCGGAGCATGGTGCGCTGACGTTGTGGAAGCGGCTGATGTTTCATTGATTGAAGAAATACAAGCTGTAGGCATAGGTCCCGAGGAAGACTTTAATTTGGCTGCTCCGCATGCGTCGTTCTGCCAGAGGAGCGTTTTTGTCAATGAAAGGGAGACAATAATTATGGGGCTAGTGGATTGTTAGGTGGAAAGGAGGGTTGTTGTAAAAGAGTTTACGCACGATGTCCCTATTGTTGATTCTATTGGACCAAAGATCAATGATAGTGGATGTTTATAGCACTAAATAGAGACTTGGAAATGGCTCAATCCCAGATGCCTAACCACGTTAGTCCCAATACACATGATAATATTTTTTATAAAAAGTTGTAAAAGGGTCGTTCGTGGTATGCACTCCCAACGTTTTGAAAAGAAAGTTGAAGTTTATGAGGAGGCGAAAGGTAATTCAAGCTATCAGAAGAGGTGCGGCTGACCGAGGTATCTCTACAAGGGTGAACTCTGCACATCAGAAGGAGCTTGAATTCAGTTGATCAGATTTTCGAATCAACTTTGTTTATGATAGGAGTTTGGGCATTTGTTTTGGTCCTCGATGTATCCAAATGTTTCCAGTCTTCTGCTCGTAGCACAGAAACATTTACAGATTGTGGGTGGTGATAGGGTTTTGATCTAACCATTTTCATTACTGTTTTTCTGCTTAGATTCTTCTGCTTTTTCTTCTTTTTGCGGGTGGTCTAGCTTGAAGCTGTTGTTTCCTTGTCTGGAACCTGTTTTCTAGTAGCTCTGGTGGTTTACATCGCTTATCTTTGTGGAGATTCCTTAATTAGGGAGGATCCACAAAAAATAAGCAACAAGATGCTTCAGTTATGCTGGATGGTATCGTGTAGCCTTTAACCTTTGGGATTATGCTTCGGTCCTTGGATGAGTCCGTTGGCAGCTACAGTAAGTTGGGAGCTGTGTTCTTATTATTCTGCTAGTTATTGATGGCCACTTTTCTTAAGGTTGCATGGTTCTTCAGAACATCGAGATTCTTGTCCTTAATTCATCATTGGTACAATTTTTGTAAGTGTGGTTCTCTAAGACTTAGGGTTAGGCTTCGCACAAGCTCTGGTTGCGGGTGATTTATGTTTGATGTTTTGGTTTGTTACTTTGGTCATGTTGTCGGTGTCCGATCTCCTTTTAGTTCTTAGTTCATTTTTATAGTTTGTTTGTGTTGAATTTCTTAAAATGGTTTGGGGTGTTGTAGGGCTGGAGTATGGTTCGTGTGATGTTACAGTTTTGTGTCTTTTTATTCTTACAACCTCAAGGCACACTTTTTTTCTTCTATTTAGGATTAGAGAATTTTTTAATGAGGTCCTCGAGGTGATGTACTTTGTAAACGTTCTTAATACAAAGTACCCTCTTTAAAAAAAATTAAAAAGCTTTTTAAAAAATAGTAATTAAATGAGTTTGAATGTTAATGGCAAAACGACAATATAGAAAACTTGAGAAGATTGTGCAATGGGAAGTACTTTTACTTCACAATCACAAACATCAACAAAAGCAAATGAGGATTGGAGAGTGAAGTAAGGTAAAGCTAAGCTTAAAGTGAAACAAAGAATCTCACTAAAAGCTAAATCATGGAGTGTAGTAGCATACACACACTAATGACTTGCATGCCTACTTTTTGACCAAACAATTTATTTATAGATAATTATTTTATTAAATCTAGAATTATTATATTAATTAAATAAAAATCATTTTAAGCCATCCTTATACTACTCTCAAATCTTTGGCATTAAAAAAGGAACACTTCTTTATAGATATTAGTTTTATCCTCCAATCCCAAAGTGAACCAAAAATATAAAGAGGGAAACATTGAAGTTTACTTTCAAAAGCTTTGGAGTCCTATGTAAATTATTCACTAAACATTCTTACATGTACAAGTTTGATTACGTATGGACGAAACTGAGTTGAACTATGGGTGAGGTTAGGTTAATTTCGAAACTAACAAGGTCCTAAAATAATTATATTATAAAAATTTTAAAAAATAAGATTTAATTTCATTAATTATAAAATTAAAAGATTTTAAAAATAATCAAATAAAAAATAGAATCATAATTTAATTTCATTAATTAAAAAAATTACCTTAAAAATAATTGAATAATTCAAGCCTAGCTTTATTATTTCAAAATTATCAATAGCTTAAAACCTAATTAAATCATCAAAGTTGGGGCCATATCCCTCCCACTTATAACGTGTATATGTTCCTTGAATTATTCAAAATGTAACCCCATCCAACATTCATAAAACGATAATTAAATATTTTTTCCCGAAAACTAGACTACATATTGAATATAACTTTCCATTGTTTCTCATAACTAGTACATTGAACGTTGCAAAGTACAACATATATTGAAGATATTATCTCTTCCTTTTTCTAGTCAATGCCATATAATATTAATTAGGGTAAAGTACACGAATGATCTCTCGATTATAAGGTGATTGACTATTAGAAATTACAAAATGGTCTTCTGATTATAGGACATTACTTTGTTGATTCTCTCAATTATTAAAAATTATAAAATGATCACCATACTATTCATATGTTTCAAAATTATCTTTTTCTATTAAAAAATTGACGATATTCGGACCTAGACGTTAACATGTTGACTGAGATATAATAAAATATGATCACAAAATCTCAAACAACTATTATATCTCAGTCAACATGTTAACGTCCAACACAAACGACCATTAAACTTTTAATAGAAAATGACTAGTTTGAAACATATTAATAGTCAGGTAACCATTTTGTACATTTTAATAGTTGAAGGTTCAACAAAATAACTTTCTATAGTTGAAGGATCATTTTATAACTTTCAATAGTTGGGAACTTAATAAAACAACATCCTAAAGCCAGGGACTGTAATATCCCAAAATTTTGGTTAGTGACCAAAATGTAAATTTTGAAAGTTTCATGGCCAAAATAGAAAATTGGGAAACGTTTAAGTACCTAAGTGGAATTTTCTCAAAAAGAATTTTTATTCCATAAATGGTTTTAGTTAGTGACCAAAATGTAAATATTGAAAGTATGGTGGTTGAAGTATAAAATTGGCAAAATTTTAGGGACCTAAGTGGTAATTTTCTCAAAAAAGAATTTCCATAAATGGATAGTTTACTCTTGAGAGTGGTGTTTTATTGAAATTATAATCTTGATATGGAAATTGTGTTAAAAATTAGAAAGTGTTAAAATCTGGTAAAAAAATTCGGTAAATCAGATCGAATAGAAATTTTGGGAAAATTTGAAGGATGATAAATTAGGCTTAAAAATATTATTTCCATATTTTAAAATGATGGAGAATAATATAAACCATTGGATTTGAGATTTAATTCTATGTTAAATTTGGATCGTTGGATTAAAGTGGCAAGATTATAATTTTTGGAAAATTACAAGGGCAAAACTGTAAAGTGGGAAATATTTTGTCCATCTTTGACTTTTGAAAGATGATAAGGTTGAATTGTCTTGGTTTTATGGTAAATATGAAGTTTCAATAAGGGTAAATTAGTAAAGATATTTTAATTTTAAGGGTAAATTGGAAATTTAACATTTAATGAATTTTTAATTCATTATTTAATAAAGAAAGATGAAGAATTTTCAAGGGAATTTCTTCATCTTCACAAGCTTTGCCGTGAGCCTTGCTCATGTAAGAAAAAAATTTCTTTTGATTTTTGAAGCCAATTTATTAGGAATTTGGATCAAGCCGTGAAATAGGAAATTATTCTATTCGAAAAACATTATCATTTGGTACTGTTATTGCTTGCTAATTTGGTTTGTGTTCAAAGATCCCAAATTCTAGGGTTTATGTTTACATTAGGGTTTATGGAATTGATGATGAATCTTGTTGTTTTTGAGGTTATATATTCATTTTCAAGCTTATATGATGATTAAAACATGTTAAATCTTCCTAGAAATTGTTCTTTAAGATTCAACCAAACTATAAGTTGGGGCAAACTTTGTGTTTTTATGAAATTAGATTAGGGATTTGATTGTAGAGATGTTGTAAGGTTGGATGGAGGTTGATTTCATGCTTTAATCGAATCAAAATTGAGCAAAATCATGAAGGAAAAAACCTACCCTAGAAACTTCAGAACATTCGACCATGGCTTGTATGGATGAGAAAAATTATGGATAAATTATGTAAGGGCTGGAAATGATGTAGGAAGTATTCTACAAGCCTTAGAAAATTTTGGAGGACCATTATGTAATTTTTGAAAAGTTAGGGGACTAAATCAACAATTTTGGAAAACTTTTGGATTGTTGTGTAATTATTTAATAGTTGATGTGATATGCTGGAAATTAATGTTTGAGTGTTGAAATTGAAGTTAGGTTTAAATCACAAATATGGAAAGGTTGGAAGCTTAAGTGAAAATATTTTGTGAAGCTGGGATAAAATGTAACTTGATTTGCACATTAGAAGTATTAAGGTCAACATTTATGTTGTGACATGGAAATTATATCGAATAAGCATCGGAAAATTTGTTAGGAATTTATTTTCCAAAGTATGCCTATGTTAGTAAGATTCTAACATTTGGTTTGAATTTGTATATGTTTGGTAATGATGTTTATTTAGAGATTGAGTGCTTAAAAGAAAGATCAAATATTATTAAAGCTAAGGAGAAGCTTAAGGATGAAATGGGAAATTCTAAGGAAGGTTGCAAGCTAAGGAGACCATGTGTGTGCAAATTTAATTTGTACTTATGTAATCGAACAAACATTGGCCTGCGATGAGCCAGTGAAGAAGTTACTATAGTAAGGAGTGACTCCTAAAATGTTATGTGATTTGTGATGCATGCATATATGAGCATTTGGTGAGCTAATAGAATTAGTGAACAAGTTGAAAATGCAAATTGGTGAAACCTGCTTAGAATTTATGTTCTGGACAATAAGTTTATAAAATCACCATAAATTATAAAAAATTATAAGAGGATGATTTTTATATTGTTGGACTATTATAACAGTATAGTTTTGTTTAGAACAAACAGAAATTGATTTCGAGGTGTATAAAAAAAGATATAATTTTTTAACCAATGATAGGTCAAAAAAAACGGGACAGCAGATTCTGCTCATAATAGATTTTGTCAGTCAACTTTGAAAATTTACCATAAATTGTAAAAATTGAACTAGAAGGAGTGCCTTATATGTATAGATTTGTACTTGAGTCTTGTTTCCAGTGGTATAAACGAAATAATTTTTAAAGGTGTATATTAATACAGAATAATATTTCTTTACAAGTAGTGCAAACTGCCGGAACATGAAATTATGACCAATTTTGGGATTTAACCTAAATAGAAGCAAATGATCAAGTTAAAGCTTAGTGAGACTTATATTTTGACTTGCATATAATGTCAAAATGAGTGCAACGCATGCATAACATTATACATGGATGTTTTATACATCATTGGGTAGGACTTGCGATAACTCTACCTTGTTTATATTAACATGTTATTTATGTCATTTATCATATATTTGACATATTCTAAATATGTCAAAGGTTGAATATAAAACACATTGATCATGGTTATTATACATTATGTTTATTGAGAATGTTATTTCAGGTGTGAATTGCCTAAAGTTAAATTATGATAATACACTTTGCTATGGATGGAATAAAAAAATAGTCTATATGTCCAAGTAAGTCATTGACACTACAAGAAAATATACCTTTAATGACATACGAACAATAACACACGCTAATTTATGACTTGCAAAAAATGTGTGTCATAAAAAAATGTCATGTTTTTTAAAATATGAACGATTTATGACTTACCATAATGTGTGCCATATTTAATAGTCATAATCCAAAAAATTTATTAAAAACACGGAGTACACTTTTAATTATGTGTCATCTGTAAAAGTTGTCTTTTAATTTCCCCCCATTATTTTCATCTTTTCCCGCTTCTAGTCCTGGCCTCCTCGATAATCAATTCACACATGCATATGCTTCCCCTCTTTTTCTCTTTTTTCCTCCTAGATGGTGAGAAGAAAAAGATTGAAAAAAGGTTCAACACGGATAACATGCAAATAAATTATGCATAAGTTTGTAATTTGATCTTCTTTACTGAGTTTGTCCTTTTTTTTGTCTTTTTTCCATCTCATTTCCTTGCCATGATTGCTTTCTTCTCTTCTTTTTTTCCCATTGAAGTCTGGTCATGTTTTCTCGTGTAACCAAAACCTTTTGAACAAATTATCTACCCCTTGGTAGTCCCTCCCCTGTTTGGCTTTAATCATCGGTTGTAAAATTAGCTTCTGAAGGAAATTTAAACTTTGGTGTACAAGTTATAAAAGATGTTGATCTCGAAGATCTGAGGGAGCTAGGATCTGATACATATGGTACTGTTTATCATGGAAAATGGCGGGGAACATATGTTGCTATAAAGAGAATAAAAAAGAGTTTCTTTTCTGGGAGATCATCAGAAAAAGACCGACAGGTTGGTCTCCAGCGATATTTTTCTTTCTTTTCTCCCTTGTCTTTCCAGTTTGTGATCTTAAAAGTAGGAGAGCTATTATTGAACTCATAAGAAGCTTCATAATGATTTAGGGTTTAGATTTAAGGATATATATATGCATTAAACACTATACCAATTCATCTTGAAGAAAGTTTGTTGTGTTTCCATTTGTGCTAGTTATTATGTTCTACAAATTTTGGCTGTCGGGAATTCTAAAGAGGAAAAAATGGAATATAGTTTGTTGGTTACATAGCTTGGGTAGTGCACTTGCATTTTGGGTTTCAGTAAAAAATCAATAATAAAGGGGATATGAAATATTAATATTTTTGTTATGTCATGGAAGTTAAATTCATGGGATGTAACCTTGCCCTTCTTCCTATTGGTATATTTTCAGCCTTCTTTTCTTGAATTCTGTTGAAGTGTTCTATTCTTATTACAATTGGAGATTTATAATCTGCTTTTTTCATTTTCATAAGCTTGTCAATTCTTGAGTTAAAGTTGTTTTTAGCAGCTATGATATTTATTACAAAAAAGATTAGCTATGATATTTAAATTGTTCTGCTAATCACATGTTTTATCAAGAAAGGTTAGCCTGTATTTTTTTCATCATTGCTTCAAATTTTAAATAGTATTGGGAGGAAAGTAGAAGATGGCTTCTTTTTCTATCCCCCTTGGTGGGATTTGCGGTTGATTGAGCAATATTAGGGCAACTGACTTAAATTTGAAAGAAACAACTGAAAATATACAGAGATTCGAGCCCTCTGGGATTTTGTAGTTTTTAGATCTTTCAACCAATTTTGTAGTAATATTCATATCAGTTTGAGTTATTTGCATACCCAAAGCTGATAAATGTTTGGTTGTACCAGATTCAAGACTTTTGGAGAGAAGCGCAGATCCTCTCAAATCTGCATCATCCAAATGTGGTTGCGTTTTATGGAGTAGTACCAGATGGAAGTGGAGGAACATTGGCAACTGTAACTGAATATATGGTAAATGGATCACATAGGAATTTCCTAATTAAGAAGGAAATGTAATATTGATTCTCTCTCTCAATTTTATCGTCATTCACTCATTAATAATGCACTTATTGGCTGTTTTGGAATTCTTATACATATCACTTGATATTCACAAAAGGCTCATAATTGCCATGGGTGCTGCTTTTGGCATGGAATACTTGCATTCCAAAAACATTGTTCATTTTGATCTAAAATGTGGCAATTTGCTTGTCAATCTAAGGGACCCACAACGACCCATATACAAGGTACTCAATCTGTTAAAGACAAACACCGTTCTTGTGGGCATTATGATTTCAAGGTGCCTCACGTGATATTATAAACCATAAATGATCAGAAAGAAAAATTCTTAGTTCTGGTTAACCCCAAAATTATTTTTGGCCCAAGATGATTGGTGATCATATGTATAGAAAATAGAATTATAGAATAACCTTAAACCTTCATGTTCCCCTCAAAATTAGTCTATATGCTGTAACTTATCAAGTTATCATGTTAGGAACTAGGACGACTTATGTCTCTGAAAGGTTTTTGTTTGCTCTTAACGTGAAGTATGGCTATTGCGTGTTGTTTCTGCAGATCAGAGATTTTGGATTATAAAGAATCAAGCGCAATACTCTAGTTTCTGGAAGTGTGTGAGGAACCCTACCATGGATGGCGCCAGAACTTCTAAATGGTAGTATGGAAAAGTCATTGATGATCAATCAAATGTTGTTTCGTTGAAAATGAAGATCACAAAAGGTTTATGTGAGTTTTAGGGTATAATACTACATTTGCTATTGCTCAGTAATAGTATAAATCAACATCCCAAACAACTCGTGTATAAATTGAAGCCATGTCAAAAATTGCATACACTTAACCATCTTTCCTTTCCAGTTTTTCACTCTGTCTGAAAGCTAAACAAAAGCCTTCTGTTTGATTACTGAATTATGACTGCAGGAGGGATCGTGAAGAACACGCTTCGACCTCCTATTCCAGAATATTGACATCCTGATTGGAGGAAGCTAATGGAACAGTGCTGGTCTCATGATCCTGAATCCAGAACATCATTTATTGAGATAACAAAGAGGGTTTGTATTTTCATTTGATTTTTTATTTGATTATCAATATATTTTAGTAACTTAATTTGGTTTTTGGTTTTTATAGAAGACATTGGGTGTTGGCGGTGATAGATATGAAAGCAACAAGTTGTTATTATCTTGATTCCTTGGGCCCCACCAATGTCCATCAGTAGTTGAAGCAGATTATTGATGCGTAAGTAACATAAATTATCGAAACTTTATAGTATATTCTTTGATATATTTCATCAATTTTAATAGGGCAATGAAATTATACACTGCTCAAAGTGGATCTAACAAAAGGGTTAGCCTCAATTGGATCAATGTTTTGGTGAGGACTTCGATCGATCATTCCTTGTTTAAATTGCAACTTTCATTTTGACTAATCCTTTATTGTAAACTATTTGTAGTGTCCCCGTCAGTCTGGAGGCACCGAGTGTGGATATTCTGTTTGTAAGTTCATGAAAGAGATAGTCGAGAACGACTTGAAGTGCTGGTCAATAAGAATGTAAGCAAACTTTTCTGATACACATCTGTCATATCATACATACACATTAGTCATACAACTATCATATGGACTTGAAGTAGGATGTTATTCTAAACAAATAAATGCAAGTACTTGTTAGCAAGGCTGAAAACTATGAATTCGTGTCGTGATAATGTATATAATTTATATGAGAAGTTTTACTAATTAAATGTGTAAAATTTATTTTTACATATGCTTCAAAGAATGCATATGTAAAATTGGTCATTTTAGTACTCTTTGATAGTTATATACTTCACTTTAAATAAGTATAAATTATATACTTATTTCATATTTTTTACTTAGGTTGGCGATGGGAAGGAAGAATATACGGATGATGACATTGATGATATTCACAAAGAATGAGTATCTTATGTGGCAAACTTTATTATGCCGTGATATTTTGTATAGACATATGATTACAATATTTTTGATAACTTAATGTGAATATATTGTATGCAAATGGATTGCTTATATAGAATATGATATATATATTCAGTATTATGAGGCATCAAATGTGATTTAGTTTGATTATTTGTCAATCTACAATATATATATATAATTTACGAAATACAATAACGACACACGAATCTGTTTCATCTTTTTAATGACTTGTTCTTCAATGACACACAATGTAAGTCATACATGCGTGTCATAAATTTATGACACACAAATGTGTGTCATCTTCATTTATAACGGGGGCTTCAATGACGCTCAATGCGCGTCATAGATTTATGACACGCAATTGCGTGTCATCTGAGATTTATGTCAGTGGCTTCAATGACGCGCATTTGTGTGTCATCTGCACCCATAGATGACACGCAATGAGCGTCATTAAAGGGGTTTTTTCTAGTAGTGTGAGGGACAGGGTATAGTTGACATGCCATAGAGTATAGTAACTGCAAGTTTATATTAACACTAATGTGTAAGGACACTAAGTGTAGGTGGAGGGCACAACCTTATGTGTCATATCCGAATTAGCATTAGAGTGTAAACCTAGTGTAGGTGGTGGGCACGACCTTATGTGTTATATCCGGATTAACACTAGAGCGTAAGCTTGGTACAGGTTTTGCACTACGGTGCATATACCCAGGGTCCTCAGGGTTTAAATTGGGCTATGGTGTATTGGTTAATAAAGGGTAAACATGCAAATAAGATTACGAACTTATGAGATAAATGACAAGTATATTGGTAAGAAATTTGATATCCGATTATATCATGTTAATAAATAGTAACATGGTTGGAATACATGTAAAGTGATCATATTGCATTGAATATGGTTATTCATTTAAATTTATTTGTTGCATTGCTTTAAATATTCATATGATTTCCTCATTAAGTGTACACTTAGCGTGTGATAATTTTCACGCGTAAGAAAAAGGGAAGAAAATGGAATAAGGAGCTGAGCTTGGCATCAATCACCAAGGAAATATTTACAGATAACAATGATGACATCCTACTGTGTTATAAAAGTCACATGTATAAGAGAATGAAATGTCTGCAATTTCTTAAAATAGTTAGTATTAAATATAATTAATAGTATGAATAAATATTATGTTTTTTCTCTGAATAATTATTTTTATAATAATTGTTCAAGTTATGAAATTTGAGATGTTTGAATGAAACAAAATTTTATTCAATTCAATTAAAGAAATGTTTTGAATTTCTGATGTGACATCTGTAACTTGGGTTGGTTCGTGTATACGAGTTATGGGTGTTACAAGTACTATTTATATACTTTACACTATTGATTATTAAGCAGCTGATTAATTAATTATGAAACACGTTGGTTGGGTGTATATTTACTTTATCCATGATTTTGAAACTAATTTTGACATCATAATAATTTTTTATTTATTCACAATTTGTAATTTTTAATATAAATTTTTAATTTTTTTATTAAATTGAAAGGTATTACTAGATATAATTATTTGAAACAAATATACCTATATACCAGCGGGTATTACTTGTTCTCTTGCATTGGTTTAAACAAAAAGATCACCATTGTGGTCCAAGAATAACCGTCTTCAATTTTGCTTTGCCTTTACAACATGGTTTTCAGAACCGGATCGGTTAGTAAATCGACCATGTTATCAGTTCACTAGTTCAATCGGATGAACCAGTTCGATCGATCGAAAGAACCGAACGACGTCATAATTATTTAAAAAATTAAATAAAAATATCAAAAATATTTAATAAAAAATAATTTTTTATATCACAAATTATATTCAAAGCAAGTCATAACATATATAAGTTAAAAACCATAAAATCAAGTGAAACAAAATGATTCAAATTAACTACAACATAATATTTAAGGTAAAACATATTAAATAATAAATATAATTATATAACTATAATTAAAAAATAAATTTAGGGCTAAAAAAATCATAACAAAATGATATTGTTTGGTTTATTTTTTTTAAAAAAAACAATCCCACATGGCTAAGAAACATATAAGAGCATCTCAAAAGTTTAAAGAGTAAAAATATGAGAACAAAACAATCCCACATGACTAATAAACATAGAAGAGCATCACAACTAACTTCTATAAATAATAGAGGTAATTTGGCATTCAAAATCATGGAGCCTTTTGGTGAGTATTGAGTGAACTATTCTTTCACTTCAATCAAGCTTGAATTTTAGGCTTCAATCGAGCTTCTAATTTTTTTTGAGTTCAAGCCTTTTTGAGTTCAAGTTTCAATATTATATTTCGAGTTTGAGTTCAACTTCATAATTTTTAGCTCGTGAGTTTGAGTTGAGTTGAGCTTACTTTTAAAGTTTTCAAGTTCGAGTCGAGCTCAGCAATACTCGAGTTCGACTTGTCTCGTTTAACAAACGATATCGTTTGGTTTAATTTTTTAAAAAATAAAAATAAAATTGGCTGTTTTTTTCGGTTTTCAGCCGGTCCGATTAGAACGGTTCAACGGTTCTGACCGGTTCACTAGTAGCGGTTCAACCGGTGTAGATTGAACCGGATTAGACAACGATTCTCGATTGAACCGGTCGGTCTGATCCGGTTTTCAAAACCCTGCTTTACAAAAATCACAATAATCAAATATTCCTTGGACCATTTTCAAAAAAAAAAAAAGGAGTTTTATCAAAGAGGAAAAGAAGAGAGGCACAAAAGACACTGATATAACATCGCTGATGATACCATAACATCAATTACATGCATGCCTTATGTACTTTGATATTAGCTTAACTACTTCATACATGATTCATCTAACATAAACAAACAAACAAAACGAAAAGAAAAAAAGCAACAGCTAGGGTTGCCTTGTCTCATCGATCTATCTCCTGGGACTGCAGCAGTACCTGAAACCATACTCATATTTAGAGACAAAGTCTTTATTTGCGAGGAGATTAATTTACATCTAGAAGAAGAAGAAGAGGAAGAAGAGGAAGAGGAAGAAGAAGAATATACCCAATAATGAAAATTTCATTTTTATTAATTAGTATGAAGATTTGTGGGTCGAGTCCCTTGGTGCATTGCATCTGAAACATTCCATCCTGCTGGCAAAGTTGTGCTCATTGCAACCCGACCTTATGTTCAACCATGTCAACAACTATTCATCAATTCTTACGTCCAACTTCATGTTCAAACATGCTTTTATATATATATATATATTGTGTCAATGAAATGAACCTGATGCAAATCCAGTCTCCAGATTTCCAGTTAGAGCGACTGGAGCTGCCACTGCCAAAGCTAAAGCCCCTCATACGTGGGATGTCACCTTCAAACCCTCCAGACGGTTCATCTTTGGCTGCACCACATTTGAAGCAGCTTGATCTGCTGGCGAAGTTGTGAGCCCCGCAGTTGCCCACACTGCAATACCAGTCACCGGGCCTAACATCGGGTCCAGTGAACCCGAACGACGACCCGGACCCACCCCTACCATCAAAGCTTCCATAGTCGCCTCTCTCGCCACCGGGTCTCGGTTCTCCACAGCGCTGGCATGAGTCCCTCCTTTGGAAGTTGAGGTGCTGGCACGAACTGCAATTCCAGTCTCCTGGCCTGTTCATATTTTCTCCTCTACAAACACAGTTAAACAAAATAAATAATCAGCCATGCATGATGCATGCAATAACTTGATAATGAAGCTCTGAAAACGCAACCCCAAACCTAAAAATGCAGAGAGATGCAGACCTTGAGAAAGCAGGTGACAGTGACGAAGATATGATGTTGTGGGTTTAATTTAATAAGGGGGGTTTGGGTATTTATATAGCGGATTAGACCTTGAGAACCGGGCGGATTGAGGAAGTAGGTTGGCTGGCCCGTGGAGGCCTTAGGGTTTTCTTTTTCATATTCATCATGTCACTTTAATTTCCTTGAACAGTGGAATCACAATAAACTAAAATTGGAAAAGAAGAGAAAGGAAATTTGAAATTAGATTCCAAAGGGGAAGAAAAAGATTCAAAAAGCCCCAACCTCAACTCCTTTTTAGGGTTTCTAGTTGCATGTAAATGAGTGGCGAGTACATGAGCACATGCAAATTAATAATTTCATCATTTTATTTACTTCCTTATTTGCCCTTCTCTCTGCATGTTCCCCCCCCCTTTATACTCTCAACTCCCTCCTGATATTGATTTTCTCCATAATTTTAATTTAATTCTATATGAAAACAAATAATCACAACAAAATGTAAATGAAAACACAAATATATGAAAATGCCAAGCCTAGTTCGATCTGATAATAACAAGGGCAACTCTTAACTCGGCCGTATTAGGGTCCTCACTCTTATCAGATTTGGATAAGGAGGAACAAACTCAGTATTTCTAACCAGACAACACGAATATCCCACAACTCTCTAAAAGAACCTCAGAGAGAAAAGGGACCCCAAATCGACTTATTCTTATCTTAGAATGACCCAAGGAGGGCTTCCTCTTTCCTTTTAATAATATTACTTTGAAGCATGCCCGTCCCTTAACGGTTGCTATATACCATAAAAATAGGGTTGCTTTTCCATTTTTTTTAATGAATATTCCTTTGTTGATGTACTTGTGATTTCATTTTTTTCAAGTTAAAAAGGAGGAAAACAAGGTAGATTATATCCTACAAGTCGAAAAACTCTCAAGCCCTTTAAATAATTGTCAATTAACTTCGGTAATGTCATTAGAAAATTCATGAAAGTAATGCTTCTAACAATACAATTTGCCCCAATCATGGGTAAACTATCAACAACTTCTAGATAAATATGTTGGACTCTCACACTCTATGACTTGTCAATCTCATGTTTAGAGATCGTAATACCCCGAATGATACTAAACTGCTTTTTTCTACATAAACCATGTCTTGGGCAGCGTCGGAATTCCGTAAATATTATTATATATAGTACATTTTGGATAACTCAATGAATTATATAACATTGAGCGAACCTAATTCATCGTAGAATTGAAGAAGCATAGAGATCATAAATTTGTACATAAAATATGTTGATGCCACCCGTGTTCGTCAGGTTTTGATCATTTCCATGGAGATGTAGTCCAAAAGATGCAGCCAAGTTAAAGCAAAAGTTATTGCATGGCCACAAGGTACGTTATAACCTAACTTCCATTAATATATTGTACCTGAAAATATCAAAGGAAATCCCATCTTTTAAGTTTCGGGAAAAGGAAAAGAGTTTTTGCCACCAGATTTGTTCAATAGTTTATATCATTTTAAAAATAATTTCATGAACTAATTGATTTTTTTCAGGTTATAATAAAATCAATAAAATTTAATTCAGATATAATATTTATATACGATAAAATTCGTACATTATTGTACTTTAACTTTGTCACCGAACCACTATCTTAAGAAGCCGTTGATTTAAAATTTGAATTTAATATTTAGAAGTATATTTTGCTTAAGGAGAATAGATATGTTCAAAATTAAAGAAAGGGGAGGAAATGGTAGGGTTTCGATAAAGAGAGTTGGAAGCTGAATGATGAGAAGACAAGTCTTCGAGGATCAAAATTTTTGATCGTCTTTTCTCTTCACTGCTAATGGCTTTTTCACTTTTATTTTCTTTTCCCATCATCCAAACACAAATTAACTCCCAAAATTAAAAAATAAAAATAGGAGGGGAGAGAGAGAGAGAGAGAGAGAGAGAGAGAGAGAGAGAGAGAGAGAGAGAGAGAGAGAGAGAGAGAGAGAGAGAGTCAAATTAATTCCCCACAATTTTATTGGGGAATGAGTAAAGAAAAGCTGTAAAAGGCAAAAAGAATTGCTTCCATGCATGAACGACCAGTGCTCCAAACCAAACCATATTTTATTTTTTTTTAAATCGTTAATGTGTCTAATTTACATAACTAATAACTTTATACCTTAATAAATGGAAATTAATTATTAAATATAAAATAACATGTTTAAATATGATCAATATAATTAATATAAAAAAATATATCAAGTGGTCTTATCGATAAAAGAAGAATATTATTTTACTCATAGTTTTACTTGGAAGGTTTTAGATTCAAACAATTACGTATAATGCAATTTGTCAATTGATTAAATTTTTTTTATATAGATAAAATCTTTTAATCCCTGTATATTATTAAAAAATATAATTAATATGAGACATGACGTGTTATATTTATAATCTTTAATTAATATATAAATAAATTCGTGCATAATGAATTTTAAGGCGATTTTCCTGAAAAATCACCCTTAAAAATATTATTTTCCTGTCAGACACCATTTCGACTTTATTTCCTGATCTAACACCCTTTGCAGGAAGGCGCGGCCCATGCATCGCGCCTTACGCTGATGTGGCGCCATGTGTGGTAAGGCGCGACCCCTGCACCGCGCCTTATGCTGACATGGCGACACGCTGGGTAAGGTGTGATGCATGGGTCGCGCCTTCTGCCACGTAGGTGTATAGCGCGGTTCATGGGCCGCGCCTTCCTGCAATTATGACAAGCCTCAGAATGGCACGATGCATGGGCCGCGCCGTGTATAATTGCACCCGCACTTCTCGGGTTTAAAGCGTCCCCTCTCAGCTATAAATATTCCTCCCCCCGTAAACTCTCTCACAACTGAAAACTAATACAATAATCCTCTCAACCAGTAAATAACACCCGACAATTCTCTTATATTTGATTCAGAAGTTCGTTCGATCTTTCGTTATAAGTAATTTTTTATAATTATATATGATTATTTGAAGAAAATATTGTATTAATTGTTTTCAATTAATTTTTGTGGTTGTAAAATTGGAAAGCGGGAGCATACATCGAAATATTTTTGTCGATACGGTAATAATATAAAATTATATTATTTAAATTATTTACGTTTTTGTGTAAAAATTTTATTTTCTTATATTTTAATTCATATATTAGTTATTTAATTAGGTTTGTTTCAGGTTTATTTTTTGTAGATGTAAGATTGTCTCACTTTCAAACTCTAAAAATGGCGCGAATTTCAGCTATTGTTTATTATGATGGAGAAATTCGGGAAGATAAAACCAGAGTTGTTTTCGTATCAAATCATTATGTTAAAATATCCTTCAAGAGAAACATAACTCTTGAGGATATGATAACGAAGATTTCAAGGAAGATTCATGTTGGAAGTACTAGAAGAATGTCGTCGCTTCAGTACAGATTTCCAACATCATTGCTGCCATTAACTTATACAGCGTTCGAACTATTGAACAATGATGATGTTGAAATGATGGTTGATTCTCAAAATAATTATTCAGACGCCGCTACGGAGATGTATGCAAAGTTTGTTGAAGTACGTGATATTTGGGGTCTGTCATTAAGCTCCCACTATGGGCTAGCTGATCAAGTTGACATCCCGACTACAGTAATGTGTAATGATTTTAATGTCATAATGGGAAATCTGCATCATGGTTCCGTCCCATCAACTTCAATGAGGAGACATTCATCAACAACTCTTTACGATATGTACCGAGGTGGGTCCACGAATAATCCGTATGGCAATATCGCTTTCAGTTCAAGGGGAAGACATTCATCTACCAATTTCTTTGACCTTAATATGGAGATGCCCTCGACGCAACAATCTGTGCAGTTTTCATTTGACACGATGGCTTCAAGCTATAATGGGAGACATTCGACTGTGAGCTTTTTCGATCTCAATGTCGATATGCCATAGTTCAAGGGGAAGGCATGCAAGTAGTAGGTTCTTTTACCTAAATGTGGAGAGCATGGAGGAACTATCTTCTCCACCAAAAGAACCGCTTCGTGAGCTAGGTGCGGATGGTGCTGAGACTGAACTATTCATTCACCCAGAATCACCGCAGTTCAACTCCGATAATAATGATGATGTAGATGAAGTTCCCTTAAATGTGGCACAAACTGAACTTCCAGCACACATGTATGAAGCTGACTATGGTGCAATGCACGAGTCAGAATTTATGGATATACCTCATCTCGGTGGCTATGGAATTTACTCATCAATAAATAATGATGAGTTATCTTTAGGCATGGAGTTTTTAAGCAAAGAAGAAGTGATGATGGCTATAAAAAATTATAATATCCGTAATTTTGTTCAATCTAGAGTTGCCCGCTCTACAATAGAAAAATATGTATGTCATTGTGCCCGACATGAAAACGGATGCAATTGGATGGTTCGCATATCGAAGAGGAAGATGAAAAACAATATATGGGAACTAATAGTATACAACGATCCTCACACATGTTGTGCCGGAGGGATCAACCAAGATCATCCCAACTTGGACTTTGAAGTGATCTGCCAAGCCATTATGCCAATGGTAAAAGCAAGCTCATATATAACTATTGCAGTGTTGATTTCTGCTATACAATCACAATATAGGTACGTTGTCTCCTATAAAAAAGCTTGGTTGGTAAAACAGAATGCCATTGTCAAACTTCATGGCGAATATAATGCATCTTACAATGAACTTCCAAGTTGGTTTAAGGTGGTGCGGAGGTTGAATCCTGGGATAATTGTGGACTTCGAAACCTCTCATGTATACCATAATGATCGAGTTCTTTGCGATCGATGCCAATTCTACCAGGGTTTTTGGACTTACCCACAGTGCGTTCATACTGTCAAATACTGCAAGCCTGTGGTCCAGATCGAAGAGACTTTCTTATATGGAAAATACAAGAAAGTTTTACTATTGGAAGTTGTCCAAGATGATAATCGCAACATTCTTTTTGTTGGTTTTGCTCTTGTTGAAGGATAAGATACAGATTCTTGGGCTTTTTTCCTTCGAAACTTACGCTCACATGTTATCACGAGAGAAAAAATCTATGTCATTTCAGATCACGGAGCTGGGATCAAAGCAACAATGGAGTCTT